GGCCCGCGCGGCGGCTCGGGGCCGGCCGGCGCCGGCGCCGCCGCGCCCGGCCCTCGGGAGCGCCGCCGCGCCTGCAGCACGCGCCGCCCTGCCTGACCGGCTCTGGGGGTCCCCGCCGCCAGGCGGTCGACCGCAGCCTCCGATGGCATCACCGCACCGCTGGCAGCCGCGCCGCCTGACATCGCCCCTGCCCCGGCGCCGCCCCTCAAGCGCCGGCGCTGCGCGGGCGCGCCGCCCGCCTCGTCCCCGCCGCCGCAGCCACGGCCCGCCTCCTGCGCCCGCAGCTGCTCGTGGCTGCGGCCGTGCTCCCGCGGCGCGAAGCAGTACACGCCCTCGCTCGAGTAGCTGGCAAGAAGCCGGCGCCCTGACGCGTCGTATGACACGCCGGTGACCGGATAGTTGCGCAACCCCACATCCTGTGGCAGCGGGTGCGCGGCGGCGCGGCGGATGCGCTCGGGCACGAGGCAGGCCACCCACTGCGGCTGGCCGCCACCCGGCGTGAGCAGGCCCTGGCCGGGCCGCTGCAGCCTGCGGACGTCGTAGATGCGCACTGCGGATCGGCGACGGCGGGGCGCAGGCGATGCATAGGGGTGAATCAGGGCGTGGCGTGAGTTGCTGCGGCCGGGGCGGCGCGCTGGGCTTGGCATCTTACCGTGACGGCTGCACCCCACACAAGGCACGGCCGGTCTGCCTTACAAAACCAGGCAACAAGCAGGCCACCACTGCTTATCAACCAGAAACCGGCAAACGCCGCATTGTGCACCATACGACTAAGGTCCAGATCCAAAACCAGTGTGAGCACCTGCCCATGCATGGCCCGCAGACCGCCCAGGCGCCCACCCAAAGGGTCGTTGCCCCCTGTGGCGAAGTAGTGCGGCTGCATTGGGTCCACCGACACGCTGTTGAGCAACACGCGGCCCCCGCGCGCGGGCCCCTCTGACCGCTGGTCCACTGGGCGGATTGGACGAAAGGGCGGCGGGAAACGGGGACGCGGCGTTTGTTAGAGGAGGGGGGGGTGCATGGCCGCAGCGCCGGCAAAGCATGCATGTCAAGACCGCACGCGGCGAACGAGCGATTGAGGCAGTGCCGAGGGCTCTTGCTGCTGTGGCAGGGTCGGCCGTGGGGGGCATGGGGGCTGACGGGCCCGGCTCACCAATCAGGGAGCGCAGCTCCTGCAGCTGCCCGGTGGGCGCCTGCGGCTGGCGCAGGTCAAATAGCCGCACGCCCCCGTCGTCGGCGCCTGCAGGGAGGGGGCGGCAGCGGGCGCGGTGGTGCCGCGGGTGCTCCGCGCCCTTCAAATGGCATTGCCGCGTCGGAGGCAGGGTGGGCTGGGGCAGGCATAAGGCGAGTCCCCAGCTGGGAACAATGAGCCGGTGCCAGGATCGGCCCTCTCAGATTGAGGGCCCGCAGCCGCGGCGGGGCGCGCAGGCGCGCACCGCTCAGGAAGACGGAGCCGTCGACGGCCGCGAGGCACCGCACGCGCGCCTCGTGGCAGCTGAACGGCTTGATGGCGCCGCGCTCGAGGTTGATGACGCGGACCTGTGCAGCAGGGGTCGCGGCGACAGCCGTGTTGAGCGCATGGGCGCGCGCTGGCGTCCCGCCTGCGGATGGGCGTGCAGCTGCTGCGCTTGCAGAGTTGGGGCTGCTCGGGGGATGCATGCTTGAGCCACTGGCAGGTAACGCAGGCTGCCGCGTGGCGGAGTTGCGTGCACCTGTTTGTCGCCGCCCCCGGTCAGCAGCGTTGCCCCACGGGTCCCCGGGAGATACTGGAGGGCCATGATGGACGCCGTATGGCCCTGTGATTGCAGCGCTGCTCCATGGTGAGAGCTTTGAAATGGCCAGCAGCAGCGCAAGCACAAGAGCAGCGCGGCGTGACTGTGCGCGAACACTGCAGCAGTACGCACCGGGTCGAAGCTCCGCAGCAGGCGTCCTGAAACGTTATACACGTGAAGAGCACAATCGTCCCCTGCCGAAGCCATGTAAGAGCCGCTGCAATCCCACGCGACGTCAGTGATTGAGGTGGCTCCACCCTGGTCCAAGCAGCGTTCAAGCTGGAGCTTCCGCACGAGGCTCTCCGAGCTGGTGCCCCAGGTAGGCTCCGACCTGCCCGAGCGGCGCCCCAGGGGCACGCCTAATTCCCGCTGGAGCAGAAGGGCGTCCATGGCGGGTCAACCCGACATAAGTGGAGTGAAACCAAGCATTTGGATTCGCGAATGCAATTATATATATGTTCGCCATAACAACGGCATTTTACGGGTGAGTGATCTGGTCTTTAGACCGAAGCTGCCGGCACGCCTTGGCGTTGCAGCGGTGAGAGAGCCATGTTACTGGTGAGAGAGCTGCCTGAAGTTCGGATAGCGGCTTGAGTAGACCAGCCACGCACATCGTGCGCCCAGAGCCACCAATCATCAGGCGGCCTGTTGTCCAATTTGCAAAGAGCATAGCAAGGTCCCCCGCTGACCGCTCGGCGGTGTTGCGAGGAGTGACACGATTAACAGCTATGAAACACATCGCTCTGAACCTTGTTGCGTTGGTGGCATTGCTGGAAAACTGCAGTCCATGTGATCGGAGTCAGCGGGATTTTGTCGCACTGCCAGTGTTGGAGAGTCGTCGTGTCAGTCGGCCTGAGCTTGCACAGGAGCCGGGCCCGCAGGGCCCACCAGCCACCACGTGCGGCAGTAGCACTTCTCGGAGTAAGAAGTCAGATTAGGCACATCCCAACAGCATGTTGGCGATGCAGCCAAAGCGCTGCGATTCAAAACAGACGCAGACGCTTCGCAACGGCCGACGCAGACGACAGACAGCACAGCGCGTTGGCGGGCTTGAGCGCGTAGTCAGGTGTCTTTGCATCCTTTGATGTCTCTCTAAATATATGTTGACAAGTTCCTAGGGTACATCGGGTCTGTTTCCATCAATCAGCACCCAAACCATCATCACTTGCAACCAGTCGATCGGACACCCACGCTCACACACACACACATATCAACACGCACACATGCGTGAGCGCGTGCGCGCATGCATGCACGCACACGCACTGATCACATGCACATCATGTCGCACAAGCTTACAATTACTGGCACAACGGAGCTGCGCGCCGCTCAAAGCATGCCTTTCAACCCCTCGCCCAGGGCTGTGACGCGCTTCAGCTCACCTGAGCACGGCAGAAAGTGATCCATGTGAGCCCCGGTCGGCATATTTCCTGTACCTTTGAATTTTGATATCTCGTCCCATGCAGCCTTTTCACCCTCAAGTTGCTTTGCAACCGAACGCAAGTGGCAGCGGTGCGGGCGGCGGTGCGCGCGAGCGCCGGCGGGGCCGATGTGAATAGCGGCAGCAGGCATCGATTCTACCTTCTCAACCTTCTAGGTTTTGAAAACAGCTTTAACATGGCTTGCTAGACACTCCGGCCCACGGCGGCCTCGTTCCAGCCCGAGTCTGCGTGGTTGGGCGTGAGGGCTCTGCGAGTCCCTCCCGCTCTGCCCACGCATACCAGGGCTGCGAGGCTTCCAAGGGGCCGCGGGTTTCGGCGGAGGAGGAAGGAGGCTCGGAAGGGGGCAGCCAGACATGGTGGTGCCCTGTCCCATGGCCAAGGGCCTGGGGCCGGTGTTTGAGAAGAAGGTGGCGGACAAGGAGGCGGTTGGCGAGCCCGTCGCGGCGCTGCTGGTGAGGCGGGGAAGCTATGCACGAGGTCGACCGTGGTGGCTTCGCGGCCCTAAGCCTTTTCCTGACCTGTCTGCTCGCTGTTTTACGTTGTGCAGGACCCGTCGGGCGACATCCCGGAGGACTCTGCGCTGCTGGCGCTGCTCGCCAACGTTCTCGACACGGTGGTGGATGCCAACGAGCATGCGTACCAGCAGGTGCGACGCCTCTATGGGGAGCTGCTGCATCGGGTCCTAGATACATGATACATATGCAGTCAGATTGCAAGGGGAGCCCTTGGTTGCGCGGGCCTGGTATTCTGCGTGTGCAGACATGCATGCGCGTGTTGCTGCGCTGCCCCCTCGATGCACGTGTGCACGAGCGTGTGTGTCAACGCTGGAGGGCCGCAAGCCTGGCACGCCTGTGGTTGCCAAACCAACCCTTGTTCCCCGCCACGCCTACAGCAAGAAACCAACCCTCCTACATGAACCTGAACACCCCGCAGGACGCCGACCCTGCGCTGGTGCCCAGCCTGACGGTTTTCCACGGCCTCCGCGCGCCGCCGATCGGCGTCGAGGCGTACCTTGTGCGCATCGCCAAGTACGCCAAGTGCAGCCCCGCGTGCTTCGTGCAGGCGGTTGCGCTGATCTTTCGCCTGGCCAAGCGCGACGCGGCGTACCAGCTGACGAGCCTCAACGTGCACCGGCTCGTGCTGACCGGGGTGCTGCTGTCGGCCAAGTTCCTCGACGACCACTACTACAACAACGCCTTTTACGCGAAGGTCGGCGGCGTCAGCACAGGGGAGCTGAACCGCCTGGAGGTCGAGATGCTGCAGCTGCTGGGCTTCCGGCTGCTCGTGCCGCGCGAGGAGCTGGAGCAGTTGCTGGCGGACGCGCAGGTGCGGGGGCCCGCGGGCTGGGGGCGGCGCGCGGGCGCTGCGTGGCTGCGGGCGGGCGCGGCCAGGTGGGGGCGCGGCGCCTGGTGGTGGGCGGCTTGACCTGCCAGCTGCTCATGGCGGTAAGGGCCAGTGTTTCTTTCTGGGTACCACCGTGATCAGCTGCTGGGGCTTGTGATATCATTTTACTTCTTGTGTCATCAGTCAGCTCTGCAGCTCTGTCGGTCGACCCCTTTTTTGGCGATTCGTCCCCGCAGGCCGGCTGCCTCGCCGGGCAGGTGGTGGCGCGCTGGCGGTGCGGCCGCAAGCGCAGGAGCATGGGCCCGGACGACGGCACCGCCCTGTCTGACGCGGGTTCCCGCCGCAACAGTATGGAGGTCGCGCCGCAAAGGCGGTTTGGGCGCGTCATGGCGTAGGCGGGCGCTTGCCGCCGCCGCGCCCGTTTTGTCCTTCCCGATGTTCGGGGTTTTGGTTGTAACAACAAAGCTCTCCTGCATTACTCTGCCCTTGTATTGAGTGTGTAGCGGCGGCGGCAGCTGTCATGATGGGGCAACAGGACAGGGATTGCCCGGCAATGTGCCTACTGTGCCTTTCCTAATGTGTCATGAATGTGCAGTGCATGGCCGGCATTGTAGGTAAGTGGTGAGCTGGCAGCAAGCGCAATCGATTACTGTGCAGTACGTTCCACTGTACACAGTGAGCATGAGCAGTGCAATTGTAGCAGCTCCATCATCGTGACATGGGTTCAAGTACAGTTTTCCTGCTGCATGTACTCAGCAGATGGGTCACTGAAGCATGGGGGCAGGAAGGACCCAGCCCCGGACCTCACATGTCCCTGCACTGCCAGCCACCACTGACAGGCTGCAATGGTGACGCAGTTTCCAACCCCGCACGCATGCTGCATCCCGCACATTGACTTTTACTTGAACTCTCACGATAGGACGTGCTCATAGCTCGTGAGGTGGCTGCAGGTTGTGGCGCACCAAACATGCTGGCCAGCTCGGTCCTCCGCGCAGGTGGATTCAAGTAAGCAAATAGAGGTTGAATTGTACTTATTTGTATAGCTCGCCTCAATTGAGCCTCGGTCTGATCTTCAGCATTGGATCCGCAGGAGGCTCTCTCTCAAGCTAGCTCCCCAGCTGAGCGGGCTCCTGGGGACTCCATTTATTGCTGGGGTGGTTCCTAGCCCATCAGGTGAGCTGTGGGCAGTGTCCATGCGGGCGCGTGTGCTTTCAAGCCCGCCTCATGGAGGCGGCGGGAAGCGTCCGGGCCGCGCGTCCTCTTGCCACATAGCGTACCCTGAAGGCAACTACGTGCACTACCTGTGATTCATCAACATGCCATGCAAAGCGGCCGCGTACACCCTTCCCGCGACAACCGCCTGCGCTGCCGCTCTCCCTCCTGAGCAGGCCCAGCAGGCCGTGCCCAGCAGCACGGGCTGGCCATGCGCGTCAAAAGCTCGGACGCCGCAGCGGCAGCGGGCGGCGCATCGGCCCCCACGGCCGTCATCGCCATCAACCCAGTGCCGCTCCCGAAAGAGGTCTGCGACTGTGCCGCGCCCCGCCGCCCCCCGCCCCGTCGCCCGGCAGACGGCCGTCGGTCGGCGGCCCCATCCTGCGAAACCGGCTTCAATGAAAGCAGGCACGCATCTGCCGGGCCTGACAGGTTGAGATGCATCGGCATAGAATGCGCGGTGCAATGCAGCAGACGCACCCCGTGCGCTCGCCGCAAACCCCTCGCAGGTCAGCTTCGAGCCGGAGTCGCTGCCGTCCATCAGCGTCGGCGGCGGCGACGCCGCCGCCTGGAGCGGGGACGTCCTGGTGGTGGCCGTCAGCGAGGATGATCTGGAGGTCAAGGGTGAGCGGTCTGGGCGCCGACGCGGCCTCAAATCGAAACGCAACCCGCGACAGCTGGCCGCAGCAGGCGCTTGCATGCGGATGCTGGGCTCTTTAGCTATCGCCGCAAGACGCGGTCACTTGCACGCCTGTCAGCCCACTGCAAACCGGTCCTCTCTCGGACCCTTGCGACCTCACACCGCCGCCTGTGATTGCGCAGACGAGGTGGCTTCGGTAAAGGGCGAGGCCCTGGCGGCCCTCGACTCAGCCCTGGGGGGCGTCCTGGCGGAGCTGCTGGCCGCCGGCGGCTTTGAGGGCAAGCAGGGCCAGCGCACGCGCCCGTTGCGCGTGCTGGGCGCCAAGGCGGCCAACGTGGCGCTGGTCGGGCTGGGGAAGCGGGAACAGGCGGCGGCGGTGGCGGACTGGGGGCAGAGTCCCTACCAGGTGTGTGCGTGTGTTTGTACGCGCGTCTGTGTGTGTGTGTGTGTGTGTGTGAGTGCGCGCGTGCGGCGCGCAAGAGCAAGCCTGCACGGGTGGGGTTTGCACGGTGATGTTTGGTGGGGGCAGCGGGCAGCCAGGCAGCCGTTGCGCGCGCATGTAGCGGTGCTTGTGCTGGGCCGCGCCGCACGGCAGGCTTGCGGCCGGCTCGTGCTGAGCCTAGACTTCTGCCCTTATGAACACAATTCTCTTTGTGGGAGGGGGGACGTCCCCTCTGTGCAGCGCGCCGCAACAAACACTCGCGAGCGCCAACATGTGCATGCGCGTGCACTCGCACCCACGCTTGCACCCATGCAAACACACACTGACACTCACACACATACGTGTTGCATGACACACATACACACTCTCGTATTTTACACACATGCACGCACGCATGCACATGCACCGCCTCACCCTCACATACTACCCCACAGGCCCTTGGCAGCAGCATCGCAGCCCTCTGCAAGGAGGGCAAGCTAAAGACGGCCGCCCTGGCACTGCTGGCGCCGCCCGCGCAGCCCGCGGCCGCGGTGCAGCGGCTGGCCTCGGGGGCGCTGCAGGGCGCTTACGAGTCCACGCGGTGGGTCTTGACGGCGTGGTTTTGTTTATTTCATGCCTGGGACTGAAGCAGCTTTGTTACTGAAGCAGCCTTGGGCACACACGGGCTGGGGCAGGCGTGTCTGCTGGGGTCAAGCAGCGCCACGCCTTGAGGCGTGGGCCTAGGAAGGGCGGCGGAGAGCCGGGGCGCGGGGTGGCGGGGCTGGATCAAGTGACGGGCGCGTCGGTTTGTGTGCTTAAAATTGGATGGGATGGGGCACTCAAGGAGCAAGCGCGTGCTGCCACACCTGTGCTTTCCCTTCTCGATAAAGATAGGAAACGATTCGTAAGGAATGAGGCAGAAAGATTACATCATCACGCACCAAACCCGGCATGAGCCCCCCCATAATCATCCATCAACGCCCCCAGGTTCAAGACCAAGGCGTCCAAGGCCGCGAAGCTGCAGTCCCTCACCCTGCTGGGCCTGGGCGACGCTGACGGCCTCGACGCCGCCATCAAGCACGGCGCCGCCACCGCCGTTGGCGCGATCCTCACCCGGTGAGCCGCCCTCGCCCCACGCCCCGCCTGCGGCGCTCGGGGCGGCCGGCTTGCACGCTACGCTTTGCGTGCCGCGGCAGCGGGATGTGGTGCGCAGCCGTGCCCCTGTCGCGGTGTGCCCCGCATTGCTGCAGTATCCATCCGCCTGCCTGCCGGTACCCGCGCCTCGCCTTTCTACGACGTCCACTGCGCGCAGCTGACTCTCTGCCACGCGCATGCACACCAGTGAGATGACAACACCACCCCGGCACAGTCCCCTCGCCACCATCACCCTGAACGCCCCCCCCCCCACTTCACCACCTGCCCAGCACCTCGCGCCCAACCACCAACTTCCGCATCTCCCCTTGCCCCAACCGCGCCCGTACCTTCCCCACAGCTACCTTGTTGAGGCGCCCCCCAATGTCTGCACCCCCACGCACCTCGCCGACTGCGCCAAGCACATCGCCGCCCTCGCGCCAGAGCGGTTCACCCTCCAGGCGCGTCGCGGCGCGCGGGCGACCAAAGCTCCGTTTTTGCATCCTGGCGAGGCGGTTGCGTGAGGGCTTGTGTGATCCTCTTGCCAGCAGCCCTTGCAACCCAACCCTCTCGGGCCGCCTTCCCATGGCCCTAGCGCTGCAACCACGGGCACGTGTGCACACACGCACATTCGCACGCATGCTCTAACTCACATGCAACACATAATGCGACACACACACACTCATACACACGCGCGCACAATGAAAGAGACAGAGAGGGACAGAGATATATGCAAATTCAACCCTGCACCCGTACCCCACCCATTGTCCTCCACACAACCATCCACCCCTGCTGCCGTCCCCCCTCCCCCTCCCCGTAGGTCTTGGAGGCCTCTGAGTGTGCAGAGCTTGGGATGGGCCTCTTCCTGGGTGTGGCGGAGGCCAGCCACGAGCCCGCCAAGTTCATCCACCTGGTGTACAAGCCTGAGGGGGAAGTCAAGAAGAAGGTGGGGGCGGCTGGGGTGGCGTGAGCAGGCGCTTGTGTATGTGTGCGTGCGTGTGTATATGAGTGCATGTGTGTGTATGTGGAGAGAGGTGTGCGTGCGTACGCATGCCGGTGTGTGTGTGTGTGTGTGTGTGCGTGCGCATGTACGTGGGTGTATATGTGTGTGTGTGGAGAGGTGCGTGCGTGTGTGGGTGTGTGTGGGAGAGAGAGGTGGCCTAGTGTACGGATTCCAGGCGCTGTGGGATGTCAAAAGGGTTGGGTGTTGGGTGGGAGACAGGCGCGGCTTCGATGTTGCGCATGCGTCATGTGCGTTGGTGGGCATGCCAGTGTAATCATGCAAGTGCACTATTGGAAGCCGGTGGGAGGAAGGGGCTGCTTGCATCTGCACACACACGCACACACACAGACACACACACACACACGCACACACACACACACACACGCACACACACACGCACACAAATCCCCAGGTCGCCATCGTGGGCAAGGGGCTGACCTTTGACAGCGGCGGCTACAACCTCAAGGCGGGGGCGGGCTCCATGATTGAGCTCATGAAGTTTGACATGGGCGGCAGCGCGGCCACCCTCGGGGCCGCCAGGATACTGGCGGACGTGCAGCCCGCGGGCGTCGAGGTGGGCTTGGGGTTTATGGTTCAGGGCTTAGGGTTTGGGGTGGAAGCAGGGGGGGCGACGGCGTCGAGGCGGGTGCCGCTCTGGGGTGACGCTGGCGTGTTGTATGGGCGCATGGTGTGGGTGTGGGGCGATGGGTGTGCACGAGTGCTGGTTTATTTGCGTTTGTGTGAGCGTATGCACATGCATGCCTGTTTGAATGTGTGGGACTCTTCTGTCCCCTTCAACACACATGTCAACACGCTTGCGCATGCGCGCACACGCGCGCGTGCACACACACCCACACATGTGCAACTACGCTCCCCAATCGACTCCGCCTCCCCTCAGTTCCACTGCACGATTGCTAGCTGCTAGAACATGCACACCCGTTCACTAATCCACGCACTAATTCACACACGCGCAACACACACCAACACACACACACAGATACCCACACACACAAACGCAATGCAAACGCAACGCAACCCCTTAATCATGGCCCCGCATCCCCCAGGTCCACTTCACCATCGCCAGCTGCGAGAACATGGTGGCGGCCAAGGGCCTGCGCCCCGGGGACATCCTCACCGCCGCCAGCGGGAAGACCGTGGAGGTCAACAACACGGACGCGGAGGGCCGCCTCACGCTGGCGGACGCGATGTGGTATGTGCAGGAGAAGCAGGGCGTAGAGGTGCGGCCCGGACTGCTGTTGGAGCCGGACTAGGGTGACGGCCGGACTGGGGTTGCGGCCAGATCAGGGTTGCGGCTGGGCTAGGGAGGGGGGGTGCCTGGGATTGCCGCCTGCAATCACGCAGACGAGGTCGTAGAAAATGGGCAGCGCTCTCGCGACGCTGGACTGGGCCCGGGGCCGGGGGCGCGTTGCGTCGGAGCTTCTGGCTGCTCCCAGCTGTGAGGGGAAGCGGGGCCGCGGTCAGGGGTCCCCGCTGGCCGACCGAAGCCGGCGCGCCGCGTGCGTGCAAGCCGCAGCCCCCGCGATGCCGAGGCCGTCAATCGGTTTGCGGCTGTGGTGCAGGCTTGGCTTGCAGGGGAGCAGAGGGCTTGCGCGGCGGCGCAGCAGGCGCCGCACGCCCTCGCCCCATTCATCAACCGCCTGTTCATGCTTATGGTTGCTGTGCGCTTTGCCCTGCCAAACCGCAGGCTGTGGTGGACATTGCCACGCTGACGGGCGCCTGCATCGTGGCCCTGGGCGGGGAGGTGTGCGGGGTTGGCGCAGGGGGCAGTCTGGCGGGGCTGTTTCGCCGAGGGTACGGGCTGTGGGAGTTGCTGCCACCCAGCACGTGGGCCGGCTGATACAAGCAGCCTACCCTGACCTTAACCATGGGCTTGCTGCACCGACAGCCAATTTCGAACGATGACCTTCCGCCTCATCACGCCAAACAAGTTACGAGTCCGGCAGTGCTGCTCCTCTGTGGTGTGACGACTTTGCAGCCTCCATGCCCAACGTGCGGCCGCGCTGCTCGGAACATGCGGCCCCGCCCGCATGCAGGTTGGCGGCCTGTTCACGCCCAGCGACGAGCTGGCGGCGGCGCTCACGCAGGCTTCCAAGGAGGCTGGTGAGGGCGACCTTGGGGGGGGCTTTTTCGACGGATCCGATCAACTTCAGCGGGGATGGGCACACGCGGCGGAAAGGAGAGTGACTGGAGTATGGCCATGGGGGGGGCTTGGTGTGTCCGGGTCGGCTGGTCTATCCCGGGGCCATGATTGGTGGGCCGGCTGCATGAGTGGAATGTATCACAGCCTGCGCGCCTGCCCCACCCCACCCCTGCAGGCGAGAAGGTGTGGCGGATGCCCCTTGAGACGAACTACTTTGATGGCCTCAAGAGCAGCTGCGCTGACATGAAGAACACAGCTGGGCGGTGAGCCCAATTTTCTCTGGAGGGGGGGCAGGCGGCCAAGAACAAGGCAGGACGTTGGGGTGGGGGTTGAGGGTGCTTTGTCGGGCGGTGGGAGCGCGAGTGCGTGGGGTCTGCTGGTGTGGGCTTGAGGCCCCCCCTCAAAGGTCGCTCATCATGGTCAGGAAGGGGCCGCGGGTCCCGCCACGCGCGCTGTCCCTTGGGAGCGGCAATCGAGCACCACCACCCCCCTTGCCCTTACTAGCAACACCGACATTCAGCCCCCCCCCCCCCC